TATGAACGGTCTCTCCTTTCACCATTTGAAAGATTAAAATTTAGTTCAGATCCATGTTATGCATACTTGTGCACAAGCATACGTAGATTAGATGCGCACATGTACACATATGCGAGATGAGTGTACACTGATTTTTTCAAAAAATAAAAATAAAAGAGAAAAACTATGGAGATTCACATTGTCACATTCTCCAACTGTATACTACATTATATTGAAAAAATCAAACATTTTCCATTTACAAAACCCAACTCCCTGAAAGTCAAATTGCACACTTCAAACAATCATGGACTAGGTCAAACCTAGTCATATAAATCCTATTTTTTGGAGTACAGGTTTCAAATAATTTTAAAAAGTAAATGTTTATGGAAATTAGATACTGTCAGTTATTCAATCACTTTGTAATGAATTAAATGTTGATTAGAAGAAAAGTCACCATTTTTATTTCTCAGAGTTTATAAGAAATTTCATAGTTATATATTAAGCTGTCAAGTTCAGAATTTCTTAAAAATTCTGAACAAATTCTAAAACAGGTTAGCACTATCAGGTATATGTTGGTTGCTCAATGTCTCCCTATTTGCCAAATGTTTAACCTGAATGCGAGATGAGAGACTTTGTATCAAAAAATAATGTTCAACTGCTGCAGATATTTATGTAAGGATGGAGTACAACATCTCGAAAAATTGAGGCTGTGAAGCAGATATAAATAAAGATGTCAAAGAGGGAATTGCAAAATGTTAGAGCTCTAAACCTATCGACCAATCAATACATCTCACATCTTTATCTCCAAAAAAAAAAAAAATTCCTAGTTGTTATAAATTTATGGGTGTTCAATCTAAATTGTTACTTCCATAAGTGAAGACCTTAGGCATAAATCTCTTCATGCTTGAATGAAGTGAATGTCCTTTTCTGTTATGAAGTGAGGATTTATTTAGTTATATTTGTTGGCTTTTTAGTTCCCTCCTATGTGAAAAAATACAAATCTTTTTTGAACTCACTTATTTTTTATTCATTAGGACTATTAAGACTTTTATAATATATCACTTTAACGTTAAGAAATAATATAAAAATAAATTTTCAGTCACAAAAAAAAAAATAGAACAAGAAGAGAATTTTTGCTGAAAAAATTACATCCAATATATTTCGGTTCTTCCTACGATCAGACGGTCACCTTTATTTTGATCAAGCTGAAATTTGATGGGTATTTAAAAAACTAATTATTCTTCATTCTCGACGATGGAGATCGATTTTGAACAGTTGAATTTTTGGTATTTTCAGTTCAAAGTTACTGTTTACATTTTTCTTCTCTGCACTGACTAATTTGATTTTCTTTGACGATCGGACGATCATTTGTCCAAATTCTTTCCAGTTGAAAGTGGCAGCCATTTATTGACTTCAATTGTTGGTACAGTGGGATATTTAGACCCAGAGTGAGTTCAGCATTTCACAAAATATGATATACGTACACACACACACACTTGTATATATAATT